CTTAGTTTAAAGTACGTAATTTTTGAAGGTATTTTATGGGTTCCGTAAGCCGAAAGTGGATAATGAAATCGTTTGGGCCAATAAAAATACGGAAGAGGGTTATACACAGCATTAAAAGGTAAGTATGCAAATAAACAAGTAAAAAGAATTTTTTAAACATATGCCCATACATTTTTTTAGGAGCGTTGTCCAAGGATTCGGAGGACCCCGACAAATGTTTAAGGAAGGCGATGATTAATGTAAAAAGCAAATTAACGAAACGTTAAACTAGGCTTACGAACAATTATTGTCTTTAACAGAAAACCTAAATAACACAATTTAATAAAAATTATATTTAATGTTATTATATTTAATAATTAATAATTTATATTTAATTAAAATAATTCTATATTTTCATAAGTTTTCACTCATTGGAAATATTTTGAACTTCCCAAGTGATTTCACGTGGACATGTCACCTGCAGGTTACATGCCATACGACAAATGAGTATAATGAACAATTGAAATCCCGAGTGACTTCGAAAAATTTTCATTTGCATTTCCACATGTGAAAAAGCTGACATCCCATTTAATTGTCCATATGGAGTATTACTCGTGCAAGGTGACAGGTCCCGCGGTGTTTACAAGTGAAACTTTTTTTTAACTGCAGGGCATTCACACGCATATCTTGTTTTCAGTATTCTTGCTTTCATTAGAATTCTACTTGAATGTTGGAAACGAGAGGGAAGGCCGTGAAACTATTTCTTTGAACATATTTTTATATTTTATTTAAACATAGGAAAGCAATTTCACCTTGAGAATAAAATAATTAGTTTGTAATTCTAAATTAATTTTGCCCTTTAATGGAAATGTGCTATATGCTTTTCAGCAAAAAGATATCAGTGGGAACTATAAAGAATTTGTATTTACACGAATCTGATTTCCCCCGTCAGGTAAACATGCTTACGTTCTTCGTTATTATTGGCTGCTGCTCTTGCTACCATCGCTGACACCTTCGCCGTTGGCCAATCTTAATTTTAAATGGCCGGTGCATTTTCATTATTGTATTTGTTGGATGCACTTAGTCGAGTTCAATCAACTAGGAAAATTTGCTGTCTAGGCGTAACTTGATTAGAGTGAACTTTATCTAGGGCATTGCACTGTTGTTGAATTGCGTTGTTGTATTATAAAGGAGCCTTGATGGTGTAGACGTTTTTCATCCAGCGAGACTGGTCCATTAAAGTCGTTCAGCTGTGTTGTTCCTGACAATACTTCTTCGAAGTCCGGTAAGTGTTGATTATTGATAATCTTACATTCTAGTTCTCGAAGGTTCGTGAGAGCATTAACGCAAGTACCATTGCTTAAATCTAACACATTTTCTGAGTTACAAATTACCTTATCATTATTTATTTGGGTTTCATTTTGCTTTAATTCTAAGTTTCTACAGTTATCTGTTTTAATGGTTTGGAGGCTAATAATATAAATGAGGTCGTTACAATTTGTGGCTAATTTAACTTTTGCTAACTCCAATAATTCTTCTATATTAAATAACAAAATTAATAATTTCCTCCGAGTTCTGGATAACTAACGTTGGTAAGTCGGTTTACTTATTTATTTAGTATGAAAAATAATGTTCTATTACTATTTTCATGTATGATTTTTCTGGTTTGTGTTTTAATAGTGGTCAATTTATTATCTTCTAGTTTCTTAGCTTTGTATCTATGTGTAAGTTTGGTTCCCAGCCATTTACCTATTTTTACGTGGACTATGTCTCCTGGCTTAAAAAGTTTTGATGCATTTTTGTGAAATGATTGTTAAATTCGAGGTCGGCGGTTTGTTTTTTATGTATTTTCTGTTTGATTTCTTTTTGTTTTTTCTGTGTCTTCTGGTGAAAATATATATATGGGGCTCTCTTTTATTACTGGATGGATCGATTTATTACATTCCTGAACTGCCTTTAAGATTAAGTATTCAAATGTCACGCTCCCGTTGTTTTTTTTAAGACACCGTACGATTTCGGATGGAGTTAAATGAAACATCTATATTTGTCCGTTACTTGTCGATGCGTTCGCGGCAGTTGTGTACTCTGATTTTTTAAGTTGATCCTCTAACGTAAACCTGATTGCTGCTGCGCCTAATTTGCGTTCATTGTTCAGTATTTTATATTTAGGCATACAAAAAGCAATTAACATTACCCGCAACGGATTTTTATTTTCTTCAGACTTTTGTCTTTTGCTTTTGACTCTGGCATGTATTGCAAATTTTTCATATCTGAAGGTACTCCACACACTTCTTTACATGCAGCAGAGGTATATGGCACCAGTTGGGATGGCGGAAGGTGGAGGATCCATAGTAGATGATTATGGGCTATGATGTCGTCCACGCTGTACTTTCAACGTGTCGTAGGAGTTGAGCAGGTCCTTGCGCTTCAACGTCTTCAGTTCGGTGTGCTTCTCCATGGCTGCCCTGGAGAGATAGTTGCTACCCAGATTTTTTTGGGTACTGCGCATTTTGGGGCTCCTCCGTCGGCATCTTACCTATATTATCCTGCTTGCTGGATGTCCTTTTCGTACTGGCCATTCCCCGCGCCAACTGCGTCAGGCTCCGGGCCAGATTTTGCGTTTGATTCTGGCCTTTGCGCTGCATAGTAATATTATTTGCCGAGGTTTCATTTACAATCGACGAGACGTCCCAACGAACATGTAAATGACATTCAGGGTTGAATGGAAGCTTTGCTTCACGGGTACCATTCAATCCTCTCCTGGAATTTCCTTTGATTTTTCCGAGCAGCAACGGAAATAAAATTATTTGCCGGTCATACAGCCAGTTTTTCGAACCATGTTTCGACTATCTTTCTGTATGATATATTTTCTTAATCCAAAAGTAATTTATCCGAAGTAACGGCATTGAATGTATGTATTTTAATTCCGTTATTTATGCGCGACAATAACCCAGTTGCCTTTACCCACAATTGTACACTTTAAACAATTCCAGTAGACATATCAGTGCTACTGTTTAATCGATATTTTTCTCAAATATATTTTTAGTTCCAAGTCACAGCTTAAATTCTCGATTCTAAGTAAGCAGCGAGTATATATTTACATAAATATAGTACTTTTAACACAGTTCGCTTCTAGCATTACTTATAATAGAGTCCACCTTTACCGCTTTTCTCTTTCCACAATTATGACTTAATTACTTCCCAAAACTTAAATATAAATCCTAATATCCGCAAAATTACTCCAAAAATTAAAAAATTATTAAATTAATTAAAATTAAACGTTTTAAGACCGCATAGACCAAACATACATAAATGAAATACATACATTAAATGCCGTTGCTTCGGATTAATTACTTTTGGATTAAGACAATATATCATACAGAACGTTAGTCGAAATATGATTCGAAAAACTGGCTGTATGACCGGCATATAATAATTTTATTTCCGTTGCTGCTAGGAAAAATCAAAGAAAACTCCAGGACAGGAAAATTGTAAGATTATGAAATCCGACTTGAAGGACCAAAATTATGGGGCGGGGTGGCTTGATCGCTGAAATTGTAGGATCCCAAGAAAACTTGTTCGAAAAAAACTCTTTAGAACTTTTGGGCTGTTGCGCGACGTGCTCGGGTGTTTATTGTATCACTTGGAAATAGGAACTACTAGGCCTAGCTTAACTAAAGCGCTCCAGAGCGAAGCGCAGACTTAGGGGAGAGTTGGAGAAAGAGAGCATTGGGCAGTGAGAGCGAGTGAGATGTAGACATCTGGAGAAAACTGCAGCTTGAGACTGCCGCTAGAAATTAAACACCCTTTTGGCGTGAACAAACTTAGGAATTTCCAAAATCTCTCACTAGTGCTTGCTGTCAAAAAAAATACTCATACACAGATTCATCGCGAAGCTGTAACAGAAAGTCCTTAAAGCTTCATTTGCATTCGGCTTGCTCTGGGCTCAACCGACGAGAGATTTTTTTTCGCTCGGTCGGATCATGTGTTGGCTTCCACACCTTTTCTTCGTAAATACTCGCCAAGAAGTTTTTGTGTGTTTGTTTAAGCGTGTATGTGTGCTCTTCGCATAGCTTGGTAAAAAAATTTTCTGTGAGCTTAATGATGCAAGGGTAATCCTATTGCACCTTTCTGAATGGACAATACAAGAGGTGAAAGAAGAAAAATTTCAGATAAACTGTCTTACCTAAACATACATGAAAATTTAAAATATTCCGTTGGTTTATGGTCGGTTACCATTAACGGCCAATATAAAGGAAATCTAAGTCACCCCATTCTACTAGCCATACATGCATACCAAGTACCTGCGGAGTCGTATTTTTATCCTTATTGAAAAACGCTCCTCTTTAAGTACCGAGGATATCAATTTATTATTAATTGTTAAATTTGTGTTTTACGAACGAAAAAGGGGGTGGTTGCTCAGAACTATAGCGATTGAGTCCCAATTTTCTAGGTCATTTATTTTTTTCTGATTAATACTTGTAGAGACTTTATACTTACTTGTAGAGTAAAAGGGCATATTTAATCCGAGAGGAAGTATGTCACACATAGATGCTTTTTCGACCCTATAAAGGCAAAGGTTCAAAGTAATATTTCAGTAATATGTTTAACTGGTTTTGGGTAAGAATGGATTAGCTGCTATTAAGCCGTAAAAAATGCCTAACAAATTTCCGCAGTGGCGTTGTATGCAATCTTGGGAACAGTCGCTTTGCTGCTTTTATGTCTCCATCTCCCTCGCACTCCGCTTAGCTGGGTAACGGGTATCTGATAGTAGAGGCAATCGACTATAGCGTTCTATCTAGTTTAAAAATGTATTTATGCAAAATATTGTCTAAATATCACCTCAGAAATGGGATGGTCCCAGAAAATTGTTGTATGAATAAAAGAAAACGGTGCTGTAAAACCAAACGAATTTTTGAAAACTGTTTTTGCAGTCACTAATAACATATTGCCTTTCCATTGGCACCTAAATTTTCATTTCAATTTCATTTATTAATGTGATTCTTTCATTTTAATTTCAGAGTGGCTGCCTCGCAGCTTGCTACTCTTGGATGTCCAGAGTTAATAGCTCATACAAGGGAAGAATACCAAAATATCGCCATACGCCTGGGTACAAAAAAAGAATATTTAAAAACCATGAGGGCAAAAGTATGGAAAGCCCGTGTGGAAAGTCCTCTATTTGATTGCTCACAGTATGCCAAAGGATTAGAAAAATTGTTCTTACGAATGTGGGAAAAATTTGAAAACGGTGAACTTCCCGATCACATTTCTGCAGCATAAACAAGTTAATTCGATAATTTTAATTTTAAAATGGGAATCACAAGCTATTAATTAAATTTTACCGTTGAAAGCCCAATTCTAACACAATATTGGTTACATGTAATCCTATTGCTACTTCCCGAAAAATACATCCCCCATTTCGTTATATATTAATAAGTTATTTGACATGTACAAACATTCTTGCTACTTAAAAATAAACGTTAACTGAGAGTCGGTCCAGATAGACCTTATCAAGAAAAAAGGAGATGTACAAAGATTTGCGGAGAATTCAAGTTATAGAAAATAAATTATTTATGAAACCTGTTACTCGTAGGGAATATGATATATTGTAATGTTGAAAAGTATGTAACAATTTAAAGGAAGCATTTTCGGTCCCATAAAGTATACTTATACTTGATCAGAACTCAATTCATCTCTAAGTCGTTAAAAATATTCACCATATATTGCACCCCTTATACCATCGATTAGAGTGGAACAAAGATGTACAGTTTGTCAAGTATTTTTTTGCAAACGTGAAAATGGCATAGAAATTCCTTAAATCACACTAAAAAACAAGAAATCAAAAAAACATGTTTGGGAGTCCACTCCCAACGCTAAATTTAACTTCTTTGCGATTGGCCAACATTCTTGAGAATCTGCATGCTAACTCCCTTTTAAAAATTCCGAGGTCACAGCGTTAATATGGACAGACAGAGCAGAGACGAATATGGCTCTATCGACTCGGCAGTGATTTTACCCAATAATATTTATACTTTATGGGGTCAGAACCGCTTCCTCCTACCTGTTACGTACTTTCCGACGAATACAAGACTAAACAAGTATTTATCATATTTGAAAATTTGATAAAATGTTGTTAAGCCCCATGAGGAAGTGGTTACGGCGTGGAACTCCGAAAGGTAAGTAGTCTTGGTGTGTGATCGCTGACGGCGTACACTGGTCGGCATATGTATTTTGACAAAATAAAAGTTAAGTATACTCATAACTTGAATTTACTTCTTGTAAACTATAGGCATCAATGGAAAGGTAATTTCAATGCCGTTTGAATGATACAATACATTTCTTTACCCATTCAGTACTTATTGAAAAGGACAAATTTGTGTAAATCAACTTTTAAATTTTTTTTTCAAACTTTTTTCCTCGACTTGAAAACTTAAACTTTTTGATGCAAAAAGTTTCTTCAAACAAAAACAATAGTAACTGCAAAAAGAATTTTTCAAAAATCATTTTCCTTATATTTTTTATGATTTTTTGAAGGTGACAATGTCGGAAAAAATTTGTATGAAAAAGAGAAAAATATGGCTCAAATGCCTGTTTTTAAGCATTTTCAAAAATTCATAAAAAATATAAGAAAAATGATTTTTGAAAAATTCTTTTTGCAGTTACTATTGTTTTTGTTTGAAGAAACTTTTTGCATCAAAAAATTTAAGTTTTCAAGACGAGGAAAAAAGTTTGAAAAAAAAATTTAAAAGTTGATTTACACAAATTTGTCCTTTTCAATAAGTACTGAATGGGTAAAGAAATGTATTGTATCATTCAAACGGCATTGAAATTACCTTTCCATTGATGCCTATAGTTTACAAGAAGTAAATTCAAGTTATGAGTATACTTAACTTTTATTTTGTCAAAATACATATGCCGACCACTGTAGTGATCCCGGCGGAAGAAAAACCGAGGGCAGGTGGATAGGTGGTATTTCCTCCAACTTCGTTGTGAACTATCCATCACAAGTGAGAAACTGATTATGTGAAGAAAGGAATCGCTGCGGCCGTCGTATACGTAAAATACCCTTACTCAAAAGCAAAATAAACACTACAAAATCAAAATTAAATCTACGATGACACCACCACAGAAACGTCTGCGTGAAAACCCTTCTGCGGATTTAAATGCTTTTCTCTCAACCTTACACCACCGCCAAAAATTAGGCACATATTTCGATTGGGCCGTGTGAGGGTTTCGCAACTAATTGTCTCTTTAATGTCGCTTTATTAAAACCACATGTTAGTCTTAGGAGCTTATTACGTCGTTTTTATTGTTTACTTTTAAGTCTTGATGCACGTAGGTATGGTGTAGGTTACGATTTATTTTAAATTCATATGTTCGTCTCCAAATAATGTATGATGCATTTGCAAAATTTAATGAATTTATTTTCTGCAATTCGGTTGCGTTGTTGTCCGGAGTTAGCAAACGCGGCACCCATCGCGCCTACAGCTTTCTCATGCCCAAAATTTCACGCAGGATATGACCCACGCGGTCTTTTGACATGCCTACTGTCTAGCTATCTCGCGTATCTTCTACGAGATCGTGGATTTTTGTTAGTTATCCTCCGTGGTAGCCCTTTTCGGGGCACCTGGGCGTGGCTCATCAAAAACCAATTTTTGACGGTCGCCATCGAAGGAGAAGAGTCACCGTACACAGCATTCAAGCGCTCTTTGATTTCGCTGTGCGATTTCCCTTCCAAAAACAAGAATCGAATCACAGACCGGGAGCCTGGAACCATTTGAGCTCAGCCATGCAACAAAGTGGACCGCATATAAGGAGCGATTTGAGCTTTTCATGCTGGCCAATGACGTAAAGAATGCAAGGAAGAAGGCTGCATTTCTTACGTTGTTGGGGGCTGTGCTATACGAAATCCTTGCATCACTGGCATCGCCTAGACAGGTAAGCGACTTAAAATTGTCAGAGATATACCATGCTTTAGCCGGCCATTTATCTCCTCGCCCGTCCGAGATTGCTGCGGTCTTCCATTTCCACAAACGGGACCACTTCTCTGACGAAACAGGGGGAGCGTACATGGTGGCCTTACGAAGCCTAGCGGTGGACTTCAATTTTGGAACAGCACTAAACGGTATTTTTCGAGACCGATTTGAATGTAAAATGCGATACTACAAAGAGGCCTTCTTTCAGAATTTGTGCTAACCGTGAAGCGAGTTTCGGAGCGAACTGTAACTAGTGAAGCAGCCGCCATCAGCGCCTTGTCCATGCGCCACTCAGTCGCAAATAACGGCCGCACATGCAAATTAAGTTTCTCACTAGTGAATTGATTAAAAAAATTTATTTTTATTTTTAACAATCACTTATTCACTATTACAATTTTACAATAGGTCGAACTTATTTAATTCACTGCTCTTGTATTTATTCTCGAATTATTGTTCTGCTCGATTCGGATCTCAAAAACGGACCGCCTGCTCTCTAGTTCAATGATCAATAATCAAACCTCGGCTTAAGAGATTTTATCCCCAAAAATGGATAAAGAGAATGACTCAAGAGAGTCGGAAAATAGGATGATGCAATTTGCCAATTAAATTCGAAGTCCAATCTTGGCCGGAAATTGGTGTTTACATTAGCGGAGTTTAGGGACCGCTTTGGGGATCTTTTTGTTTACGTTAGCGGACTCGGGACTCGCTTTGGGGATCTTTTGTTTACGTTAGCGGACTCAGGGCTCGCTTGGGGCTCCGATTGTTTACAATATCGGTTCGGATGTTTACAGCATCCGTTTGATTCGGACTGCGTGAAATTGATCTGGGTGGGAATGATTTGGAGGCCTGCTTGGCAGAAATAGCTGACCACGGATTTATCTCGGGTCTGTCAGAGTTCTTTGGAAATTAGCTCTCGGCTCAAAGTTGTTTATAAATTGGGTAAGAGCCCCTAAATAATGTGTCATATAACTCCCCCCATTCTAAATTGAATCGTCCCGATTCATTGGAACTGTTGGGTATATTGAATGTAATTGATTGGTTAATTCGACAATGATATTTTCTTCTAGGGTATTTTCATTGTCGGGTGTATTATTTATCTCAATATCGGAAATATTGCTTTCTGGTTCGATTTCTATACGAATTTGCCATGGTTTGAATATTAAAAATTTTCTGAATTTGATTATAATCATAATAATTAAATATATTAATGCTAATATGATTAATATTAACGTAACTGGTATTTGAGTTTGTTTAATTTGAATAAATGGATTTAGTACGTTAATATTATCAAATGAGAGTTCCGAATCATTGGATATAATATATTCGGATATTAAAAAATCTGTATATTTTCGAGCTGTGATGTATTCCAATATCTTATTGTCTACATTGGTGTAGGAAATATTATTAATTATAGAGGTGCCATTAAAAGTAATTAAATATGACCCATTTAAATGAGTGTCATTAACTGTATTTTCTCCATTTACAAAAATGGCTCCATCTTGGATTACATCTACTTTTTTATTTTTTTCTCTGATTTTGTTACAAAAAGATTTTTCTCCATTTAGTAATCTGGTGAAACAAGAACCTTCTGGGTTAAGTGTGCAATAATTGTTAAATATTTCTGTCTTAAAATTAGACATTACATAGTACTTATTTCTACATTTTGCGACGTGATTATCAATTAATAATTTTCCATCATCATGTGAAATGGATCTTGAATTGTAAACGTCACAGCGATCGGTAATAATAGGGTATTTTATGTAAATTATAATAAGATCTTGATGCAAAGCGATTTTAAATTCAGATATATCTAAAAGGTCTGTTATAACTACAGGTCTATTTTCGTGCTTATAAATTTCTTGTATATCGTCGTTGTTTAGAATTTTAGTATTAAATACATCGATTTTGGCGAGTGTAATTGTGTCCATTAAATTCATAAGATCGTAAGTAAGCAAACGCAGACGATATTTTCTAAGCGGAATTTCTTGATCTTTAAAGGCTGTTTTGAATTCTTCAGATAAAGATTTTATCTCTTTAAATATTTTAGAATTAATAACGTATTGATCGTTATTATTTTGTATTAAATCATCGATTTTATTTTGAACAGTTATGAAATCATCATGATCTGGTGTTCCCGCTATCCATTTCCAAATAGTGCCTATTTCATTAATGCCTCTTTTCGATCTACTGGGTATAATTTGGGAGATAAGTATTTGGATAATTTTTAAATCGTGGGATATTTCCCAAAGAAAATTGTTGCTGTCGTGACTCTTCAGAAATTCTGTTTCAAGATTAATTATATCCCTATAAAGACTTATATTAGTTATATGAAATAAATCTGCGTATGATTCATAAATAAGAACATCTTTGGTATCCTTGTAAAGAAGGAAATCATGGTTCGTATAATCCATAAATTCGGATTTGGTTGTAGCTACCAGCAGTAATAAGTACATTATTGAAATCATTATCTGTAATTTGAAACAAATTATTTTACATTATCTTTATGAATCGTACGGTTTCTGTTATTTATAATAACTTTATTAGGGAGAATTTCCTTAACTACTTGTTTTTTGTATCTAGAATTTAGCTTGTTTCTTTCCCCATGTTTCTTTTCGTAAATTACCTCTCCTACGTGATAATTCTTATTTTGTCTATCTTTATTGTGGAAATGCAACATTTTCTCTTGAGCTTGTTGCAATAATTTAGGCATATCTTCGTGTTTGATTTTATTAAATAGTATGTCAAAAGGTCGTTGGTTGGTTATTGAGTGAATTGTTAAATTATATTTTTGTGCTGCTTTAATAATAATTTCGGAATAATCAACTAAATTAAGCTCATCTTTAATGCAGCGAGCAATTTCTGTTAAAGTAGAGTGTGCCCTTTCTATTTGTCCGTTGGACGTACTATGTCGAGGATCTGCAAAGAATAGAGATATCCCATTTCTTTGAGCAAAGGATTTGAATTGGGATGAAGAGAAACTTGGTTCGTTATCTATCATCAAAGATTTGGCTAATGGAAATTGTTGTAAAATTTCTGAAACTTTATTTTCTATATTTAGTTTGTTAGGGATTTCTTTTACGACCAAATATTTCGAATATGAATCTATACAAGTAATGAATATAAGATTTTGGGCGTAATATATGTCAAGATGCAAATTTTCACCTTCTCTTTCTGGAATAGGCGCTTGACCGATAGGAATCTGTACTGGGTGTCTGTTGTATTTGTTTTGATTGCAGATTGTGCAATTCTTTATAAATTCCTTAAGCTTTTTGTATAAATTAGGCCAATAATAGAGTCTAGTTATTTGCTTATAATTTTCATCAAGCCCTCTATGAGCTCTACAATGAGTTTCTGTGATAATCACGGATCTGTCTTCAGCGTCTTCGACATCCTGGACAAATGTCTTAGTGTATAAAAATGTATTTATAAAATTGTCTTTAAGTGGTTTTTGAATTCTATAAAAATCTTCTAGAGTACAGTGAACTCCTATTGTTATATTGGGTGGAATATATTCTCTTAATATTGATATTAAATTTTCTGGAGTATCATACTCTATTATATGTCTAGTATTTCCGAATACATTAATCGACTCATGTATTGTATACCTCCCCGTTGCTATTAGCAATTGTTGCTTAAATTGGTTTAAGGGTTTTCGGGTTTCTTGTATAACATTCTCAAAACTACTCTCTGCTGAATGCTGAGTATTTTGATCTGAGACCGATTCATTACTTTCCGTTAAGTTATTAATTTGTATCCTTGATAAAGCGTCCGCAACAACATTTGTTGCTCCTGGCTTATAAATTATTTTGGGTGAATAGCTTTCAATAAAAGAATACCATCTTTTCATTTCGATATTTGGATTTTTTTGAGAAATGGAAAATGAAAGAGGTTGGTGATCGGTATAGATCTCGATGTTGTTAACCCCATATAAGTAATTACGAAGGTTTTTAAAAGCCCATACTATGGCTAAAAGTTCCTTTTTATTTGTCGCGTATAATTGTTCAGTTTTGGTTAGAGTTTTTGAAATAAATGTGATTGGTTTTCCTTCCTGAGAAAGAACCGCACCAATTGCTAAGTCAGACGCGTCAGTTGTTAGGGTAAATTTTTTATTATAGTCCGGTTGTACTAGTTCTACTTGTGCAATTAGATTTTCTTTGAGCTCGTTAAAAGCTCTTACAGCTGAATCATCAAACTGTATTAAAGTTTTACGTGATGCTTTTTTAGATACTTTGCCGTTTTGGCCTTCTAAATATTTTGTTAATGGTTTAGCTATCTTTGCGTAATTTTGCACAAATTTCCTGTAATATCCTGTAAGGCCTAGGAAGCTTCTAAGCTCTCGAATATTTTTAGGGATCGGATATTTTACAATTGTTGAAATTTTTTCGGGATCGGTTTTGATCACATTGTGAGAAACAACGTAACCGAGAAAGTTTGTTTCTAATTTAAAGAACTTTGATTTTTCAATCGAAATTTTCATGTTTGCGTTCAGCAAAATTTTAATAATGACAATTAGGTCTTTGTAATGTTGCTCAATTGTTTTTGAAAATATGATTATGTCATCCATATAAACATGACATGTTTTACCCACTTGTTCTCTCAAAATATCGTCCATCGCTCGTTGGAATATTCTAGGAGCGTTTGTCAAGCCGAAAGGCATTCTTAGGAATTCGTATTTCCCATTATTTATTGAAAATGAGGTTTTTTGTATGTCAGGTTCGTTCATGAGAATCTGATGAAATCCAGATTCCAAGTCAATTGTTGAAAAGTATTTGGCTTTTCCGAGATTTGATAAAATCACTGAAGGGTCCTGCATTGGATACCTATCAGGTATAGTATTTTCATTTAGTTTTTTATAGTCAATTACGAGTCTTAGTTTTGGAGTTCCATCTTCATTGAAACCCTTTTTTGGTACCACTAGTACTGGGGAATTATAAGGACTTCTACTTGGCCTTATAATTTCTTCTTTTAGCATTCGACTTATTTCAGAATTTACAAAATCTGAAGCTGATAAAGCATAAGGGTATTGTTTGCTGTAAATAGCCCTATCATTTACGGTGTTTATTTCACCGCGTATATCTGTCCTAAAAGGAATCTGCATATTTATTTTTGAATGCTCTTCATTTATAATATTTAATATTTCATTCTCCAGATCTTTTCTTTGATCTGCAGATGATATTTTTATGTTGTTTATTTTTTGATTGTCGGATAGTTCAACGACGGCGTGTTCAGAATTTTTCAATTCCAAACTTTTATTTTTGTCGGATATTTCAACGACGGCGTGTTCAGAATTTTTCAATTCCAAACTTTTATTTTTGTCGGATATTTCAACGACGGCG